TTTTTTGGGAGGCTTTTCTCGCCTCTCTCCCAAACCCGTTTTTTTGGGAGGCTTTTCTCGCCTCTCTCCAGCGCGGGGTGCGCTCCCGCCCGCGCCCTGCAGTGCGGCGCCGCGGCCGCCAGGGGGCGCCGCAGACCGCGGTGCGGCGCGCAGGGCGCCGCGGGAGCGCGCAGGGGCGCGCAGGGGCGCGCAGGGCGCCGCGGGAGCGCGCAGGGGCGCGCAGGGGCGCGCAAGATCCGCGCAAAGGCCGCGCCAGGGCCGGGCCAGCCCCCGCGGCCGCGGCTGCTGCCCCGCGCTCAGCCGCCGGCCCCGCGGGCGCGCAGCCGCTCCCCGCGGATCTCTCCGCAAGCGCGGCTCGAGCAGCGCTCCCGAAGGGCCGCGGGGGCTCCGCGGGCGCTCCCGCGCCTCTGAAATCGTTGGGAGGCAGCAGCGCAGGGCGCAGACAGCGGGGCTTTGTGCCGGTGTGTGCGTGGAGCGCAGCGCAAAGCAGGAAAAAATAAAGAGAAGGGGGAGAGAAAAGAAGAGGGGAAAAAAAAAAAGGAAAAAAAGAGTGGTCAGAGTAGGTTTGTTAAGGAATCCGGTAAGTTATAGGAAGCAAAATTAAATGTCTGGTGCTTACACGACGGCATGTTTTACAAGGGAGAAGGAAACTGTGCAGAAAATGCATGGGCTTTTATTGTTGGATTTCATTGCCTGTATTGTGGTGGATGCTTTATGCTACGGAGAGCAAGTTTAATTGAACCAGATCGCTGATTTCATATAGTAGGGGGCATGGGGTGTTTTTTTTTTCTTTTTCTTTTTTTTTGTTTTGTTTTCGGAGTTAACCCTTTCGGGGACTAGAGGCAGGCAGGGCTGAGCTCCACAGCTCCGAGTTTCAAGCAGCAAATAAAAACACATTACATAAAAACAAACACCGAGCCCAGTTATCAAAACCTCAATCTCTAGCTATTATTTTTCTTTGTATTTGGTGCCTTTTTTTTTTTTTTTTTTTTTTTTTTTAAATCACATCTGTCGTTCCCAGCCTTTCCCAACACTGCAGACCAAAGTGGACAGCTTCCATGTGACCACCTAGTACAGGAGGCGTTTTCTGCTGGGAAACTTTGCAGTGGTTTTCTCCTTCCCTTTCCTTCTGAGAGCTCAGAAAAGAAAATGTGCAATCTTCCCAGCGATTAAAGTCTCCGTATTTGTCTTCAGACTTATCGGGTTTATCCAAACTTTTGTGTGTGTGTGTGTGTATCCCCCCGCCCCCCCTCCTGTGCATTTGTAAAGTAGCCCCATCTAGCAATGATAAATATCCCTGTTGATCACTTGATTGATTACCTCTCGGAAAGGTCACGCGGGCTTGCAGTAATTTCCTTTTGCCTAAGGCTCCCTTTTCACTTTTACTCCCGCACGACAGCTCCAAGTATACAGGATCTTTATTTTTGATTTTTAACCCCTAAATAGCTCCCCGAAAACAATGCGTTGGTGAAAAGAAGGAGGGAAATCAGCCGGCGGCTCCGCGCTGCCCCAGCCCTGCCGCGCTCTCCCGGGGCGGGTTTGGGGAGGGAGAGCCTCCCTCCCCTGCTCTCCTGTGGACTGAGAATTCGGATTTAAACAACCAGACAAGCTATTAATTTACCCATGCTACCCAGGGTCCTGAACCCAATTAATTTCTAATAATTACAGCCCAAGGGGGCTGGAGAGATCCCTCTGCCTCTTTCTAGCCTTGCCACTTCGCGGCACCGAGGTCAGCATATAATAATAAAGTGTATATTTTGAAAGTGATCAGCAGAACAGTGAGTTATTGCAATGAATGAAAATTGTTTCCATTTTGGCTAATTGAGCCCGTGGCTGAAAGCTGGAGTTCTGAGACTAAATAAAGAGGACTGTTTTATTTCGACGTGGGCTGGAAATCCCTGCACAGCTTTTCGGTCACCCAGCAAGAAGCTTAATTTCTTACCAGCAAACCTGAAATCAAGCGTTGGGTAAACAGTATTAATAATTGCATTACAATGATTAAATTAATCTTACTGGTAGCTAGGAGAATATAGATTGAGATTGAATAACACGATGTAAAGTTCACTGCACAAAGACAATAGCACAACAAATACCTCGATAAAGAATTCCAACTTTTCTCCAAGTAGACTGCGGGGCTTGTTCGATTATAATGTAAGGAAGAGAAAATTTCCTGTTACGGGGAATGCCCTGAAACCTATGTATAGAGGGGTGCCTTTGCTCTCCCAGCCTGTACTAGAAATATATTTAATTCCACCCCTCCATCCGGAAAAATATTTCCCCAAATTTTAATCTCTGTTTCTGCCCGTGGATGCGCTGAAACCACCCCGCATCCCCGCCGCCGGTCGCTTCCCACCCGGGAAGGGAGCAGAGGCTGCCGGCGCGGGGGATCCTCCCCGCACGAACGAAACGGAATTCCCGGGGGGCTGCCCGGGACTTTTCGGGCAAGGGGGCGAAGCTGGCGGGGCCGAGCGGGCGATGCCGGGGCCGCCGGGCGGGCGGCGGGGGCGGCCGGGGCGGCCCGGGACGGCGGCCGGAGCCCCGGGCGGGCGGCGCGGCACCTGCCGGGCTCCCGGGGCCGCTGGGACGGCGGGCAGGTGCCGGTGACAGCCGGGCACGGCCGGGGTCAGGGCTGCCCGCCCGGGAAAGCCGCATCTGTGCCCCCGGCGCCGCACGGGGCTCGGCCGCCCGGGTGCCAGCGCGGACCCGGGCGCGGGGAAGGACGCGCATCTCTGCCCGGGCGGCGGCTTTGCCGGGGTCTCCGCTTAAACCGGGGGCGCGGGAGGCGGGGGGAGTTTTGCAAAGTTCGTGGGCGTTTGCATTTTTCCCCAAGTGCCCCGGCGCCGCAGGTCTGGGGGGGTGTGAGGGGTGATCTGGGGACAGCTCGGTGCAGCCCCGCAAGGGAAGGCGCCGTTTGCCAGCGAGGTCGGGGCTCGGGCAGTGCCGGGACCCCGAGCGCAGCCCCGGCCCCCGGCCCCGCGCATCCCCCGCGCAGCCCGTCGCTGCTCCTCGGCTCTCCCGGCCCAGCTCCTCCCGGGACAGCCCGCACGGGGCACCCCGATGAGTGCAGGGGGCTGGGGGAGTCCCCTGCCCTCCTGCCCCTCCTGCTCCGGGGGTGTGAGGTGCGCCCCTGCCCGGCTGCGGGGGGATGTGGAGTGGGCAGACAGCAGCTGCGTGTCCTTAAAAAAAAAAAAAAAAAAAAAAATACAGGTTACAAATTAAAAAGAACGATTGGCATCAAGGACGGCTCCGCAGTGCGGGTTCAAGTGCTTGCGCCCGTCTGCCGGGCGTTCGGGGCAGCAGCGTGGGACCCGCGGTGCCCCCGCCCCACGCGCGGGGCTGGCAGCGCTGGGGAGCGGGGGGCGCTCCACGGGCGGCCGGGGGGTGGGATTGAAGGGGGAAGGGGCGATGCTGAGGATTTTATTAAAACAAAAAGTTGAGCAGCGTGTATGTACTGGCGCAGCCCCGAGTCTGAAAGATTGTAATTTTCTTTTATGGTGTCTGGCAGGATTTGCAACAGATATTAATGGGAACATAAATAGCGCATGGAAGGTATTGAACAAAACTGTTTAATGCAAGGAGGTTGTACCGGGGGAAAATCTATACGCAGTTTGGATTGATTCATACCTCGGACATAGCCATCCCCTAAAGGAGTTCCCAATTTCTGCGCGCTCCCTCTTTGATTGGCAAACCCTGTAATTAAAACAGATTAGAGCGGTCGGTGTTGCTGTTTTTAAAACGCTTTTTTTCTGCCCAACTGGTGGTGGCTTAGCCGAGTTCAAGGTGGCGAAAAAGTGTGCGCGCCGGGAAAGTGTACGATTTCACGGTACGCGTGCATAATAAAACATGTAATCAAATTATATCTCCCTGCCTATATATGCGGAAAGATCTACGGTAATTGCTGCCGGGTGAGAATAAACTATTTAAACGTTGCAAATACTCCAGATGAGTATTAATATCCCACTAAAAAAAAAAAAAAAAAAAAAAAAAGGCAGAGAAAAAGGTGTCGCTTCTCCCCCCAGCCCCTGCCCCGCGGGAGCGCGGGTCTCCCCGGTGTGACCCCTCCCGGTGCGCGGGCGGCGGAGCGGCTGCCCCGCGGCCGCGGTGGCGCAGCCCGGCGGCGGCTGCGCGCCTCGTCCCGGCCCGTCCCGGCCCCGGTGCCGGCTGTCAGGGTCCCCACCGGCGGTGATGGATCGCTGCAAACTTTTTTTTGGCGGCGCTGAAATGTTGAAGAGCGGGGGGGAGCCGCCCGTGCGCATGTGCGAAGGTGTCCAAACTGACAATGCTGGAGAGATAGCGAGCCGGGATTGAGAGAAAGGGAGAGTGTGTGTGCGGGAGAGGGAGAGGACAGAGGGAGAGGGGGAGCGAAAAAGGAGGAAAAGCTCCGGGAGGAAAAAAAAAAAAAGCCCCCCCCTACCCCAAGCCCACGCCAGCATCGGCCGCGGGACTGGCAGCATGCGATCCAAGGGCAGGGCGAGGAAGCTGGCCGCAAGTAGGTGCAATACCCCTTTCTCTTGGCTTTTCACCCTCCCTCTCTGCCATGTTGCATAGACATGTCTGGTGCGGCGCGGAGCTCGCAGGCAACCTGCAGCATCCCCTCCCAGCCTCCCGGCCCGGCCCGGCCCGGCCCGGCTCGGCTCGGCTCGGCTCGGCGGGCGGGCGGCGGGGACCGGGGCGGGGGGTGCGGCGGCCGGAGCCGGGCCGGGGGCTGCGGGCGGCCGGCGGGAGGTGGGGAAGGAGTTGAGGAAAAGTTCAGTGGCGAGCGCTGGAAGTTGCTGCCGCCGCCGGGGGCTGGGGTGGGGGGGGTCGGGGGAGGGGGTGCGGGAGGCTCCGGGCCCTATAGTGGGCGCTGTGGGCTGCGGCAGGGCCGGGGGCCGGGGGGCGGCGGCTCCGCGGGTGCGCGGAGGGGCAGCGGCGGCTCCGCGGGGGAGGCGGCGAGCCGCGGCCGCAGGTAGCCGGAGCGGAGCCGCCGGGCAGCCCCGCCGCGCTCTCCCGCGGGCTTGCGCCCGAAAGCAACGCCCCGGCCGGTGCCCGAAAGCCCCGGTCGGTGCCCGAAAGCCCCGGCCGGTGCCCGAAAGCCCCGGCCGGTGCCCGAAAGCCCCGGCCGGTGCCCGGCTCCCGCGGGCTCCGAGCCGGGCGCTCCGGGCGGGCGGGGCCGCTCCGCGTGGCCGGGATGCCCCGCGCGGGTCGGCGGGGACAGCGGGGCTCGCCGGGCAGCGCCGAGCGCCTCCCGGCCCGCTGGAGTCGCCCGCTAAAAGTTGATGTAAATGTTGTAATTTCAGGCGCTTTTCCAGCACTTTTTTATACAGTTTGGCCGCCCGAAGGTCTGTGTTCCGCGAGGCGAGGGCTCGGCCGTCCACACGCAAAGCCCGACTTACTTAATTATTTGTCTTACTCTCACCCCATCTGTTTCTCCTTTATGATAGGGATCTCTGCTTTTAACTGCTGCAGTGTTGGGGCTCCTTTTCTCTTTTATTTTTTTAAAAAAGTTTTTATTATTTTTTGAAAAAATGAGGGATTCAACAACAAAACTTCGCCAGATTTCGCGTCCTATTTTAAAAGCAACTGATGTCTTTATTTTCTCTGACACATCTGGGCAAGTTTCATTTGATATCCATGGCGATGGCAACTCACATTCCCGAGTGAAAAAAAAAATGGTCAGGAGGAAAAAAAGTCAGATGAAATGTTGCATAAGTTGCGTGACGTAAAAAGCAGATGCTTATTTACTCTTTATTGGTGAAGAGGGAAAATATAGAGAAGCGTGGAAAAGGGGAAGTGAAAGATGTCTCTGGATCATCATCAGCTTTTCTCTGAACCTGAACAACAGCAGCAACCTGCGTTTGATTAGGTGATCTCAAAGTGGATAGTCCAGCGCCCTTAATTTGAAAACAAATCTATTTTTAAATCTCAAGGTTGCCATCCGTACTTTGGACCCGATTATGGGGGAAAAATTCTCCCATCCCCGACAAAATCCGTCAGGTTTCCTCGCCTCTCCCTCGCTTTGCTCGCTGCGCAGCGATGCAGGGCTCCTGCTGCTGCTCCTGCTCCGGCTCCAGCTCCGCGGGCGAGATCCGATCACTGCAAACTTTGCGCGTCCTGCAGCAGCAGCAGCAGCAGCAGCAGCACTTTCCCTTCCTAGACAGATGTGTTGCATTAAATAATCCTTCGGTTACAATCGACTCATAAAGGAAATCATATTTAAAAAGCCGGGGTTTATTTCTTTTTTGTGTTCCGAAAAGCTGCTTCTTTTCCCCCTGAAGAGCGTCTCAGTTTCATGGCAAGTGGAAGGAGGGTTGGAGGCGACCCCTTTAATTTAGTCGTTCGAGAGAAAAAGGTTTTAGCTTTTCAGTTCTTTCTGTCCGAGTTAGGAACAGGAAAATACTTTGTAGCCTTCGCCCTTTTACATGGAAAAAGATACAGATCGGGATAAAGCGCATTTCTTGTATTATTTCACTTTTATTGTTTTATGCGTGAAACAAAAAAAATCGCCCCGATTGCGTGACTGTCGCCAATACCCAGGCGAGATTTTCCCTCTTAATTAAAGAAGAATACCTGAAGGGTATTTTCTTGACCTCAGTGTAAAATTGCCAAAAAATAATTTTGAGGCTTTGCCCCCCTCTTAAAAAAAAATAAATAGAAAAATAATTCAGAAGGAACAAAAAGAGCCACGCGGGGAATAGCCAGTGAATTTTTTAAATGTCCAGCTGTAAAAATAAGGGAAAACACACGCTGAAGTGGGTCTGCCCGCCACGCTCTCGGCAGGCAGGCGGTGAGGAGCGGGGCGCGGGCCCGGGGGGCGCGGGCGCGGCCGGCCGCAGCCGCGCTGCACCTGCGCGGGCATCCCGGCCCCGGGGCAGCGGCTTTTCCACTCGGGTGGGTTTGTGCCCGCCTGGTGGAACCGTATCCCCGAATAACCCCCGCCCCAGCACGGGCCGCCGCAGCCCTGCAGCCGGCCCGGGGTAGCCCCAGCCACCCAGTAGCCTCATAAAGAGACAGAAGGTGATCAGATTAGGGGAACACACGTGAATAAGGAGGCACTTGTTACTTTTACACTTTATCACCACTTTTTTACAGGCAATTTAGTGCAGTCAAGGTAGATCCAGATCCCTCTAACCATCTGAGATAGTAAAATAGCACTTTCCTAAGTTTCAGCAGGTTTTCCTGCGCCTGTAATTTGCCTCAGTTTAGTACTTAAAAGGCTTGATTGAAAAACAGAGCCGGCAAGTTTATTTGCCTGTTTAAGACTGTCCGGGAATTTGTTTTCGAGCAGGGAGATGTTTGCCGTGTCCCGGCTGCCGGCCCTCTCGGCGAGGCTGTTTATTTGCCATCGCTTTGCCATCGCCTCCGGGCGCCTGCCGCGCCGCGGGCACCGGCTGCGATGCCCCGGCCCGGCGCGGGGGCGGCGGCGGGCGGCCGGCGGTCCCTCGGTCCCTGTGTCCCTCGGTCCCTGTGTCCCTGTGTCCCTCGGTCCCTCGGTCCCTCTGTCCCTCGGTCCCTCTGTCCCTGTGTCCCTCGGTCCCTCGGTCCCTCGCACCCCGCCCCACCCGGCCCGGCCCCGCGGGTCGGCACCGCCCCGGCACCGGGCTCGGCCCGGCTCGGCACCGCCCGGCCCGGCCCGGCCCGGCGGCATCCCCGGCGCGGCGCTGTCCCCGGCGGCTCCTGCGGGCACGGGGGCTGCGGGGACGGGCCAGACAATCCCATTATATGCCGGGCATATTTTCACCAGGCGCTTCATTAACCCTTTTCAGGG